TCTGCCATAACTGTTGATGCGATACGCCTATCGGCCGTGTCGTGAAACAGCACACCATCGGTGAGAAGTTTGCGCCAGTTAGTAAAGTAGTTGTTCAGTGGGATATTTATGATTTTATTGTCACATCTTAATAATTTTGGGAATAAAGATTTCGCGCAGTTTGCTCAGCCACACTGGCAAATTATCGCATCATTGTTTTTACCCTGTAGCGCCGTCAAAACACGTTATTTTCTTAATCCACTTTGAATGATAACCTTTTCCGGGCTGTCTGATCTAATCATGTTTTATGTGAGTGAATTTTTTTTTTTTTTGTTTCGAATTATGCATTTCAGCTTAATTTTTTCAGAAACACATTTCTTTTTCAGGTAACTTTCCCGTGGTCCTGGTCTTTGACCTCTTGGACAACTTATCGCGTAGTGCGAAGTGAACGTGATGTCGATGAGAATTGATTTCAAGGTTAGCAATTATGCCAGCATTATCAGCTATAGCAGTAACGCTCAAGTGCGCTTGATACGAATTTTTTTTTGTTTCAGTTCTCGAACCTCATTGGTACAGTGTACCGTACCGGTAATGTGCTGTTTTCTGTGGATGGGAATTCGGTGATTTCTCCAGTTGGTAACAAATTCACCATATTTGATTTGAAAAAGTACTTTACGTGATTTTATAATTTTGATTCTCTGTTATGTCGTACAGCTAATTTTTTCCATTTCGAAGTATGAAATTAATAGGAGCGAGTTTTTTGAAAAAAAAAAATTTCGTAAAAGTGGACAGTAACATTTTGCTGGGGAAATATGAATTTTTGTTCAAATCTGTTCAAATTTCTTGGGCATTTGCGGTTTTTTAGCAACCAAGCGAACACAATTGCAGTGGAATCAAACTTCAACATTAAAGTGATTGCACTCAGTACATCCGGCACTCACGCATTCCTGATTAATGAAGGTATGCATGAAAAAAGATCATTCGAGTTCGTGAAACACTGCAGCTGAAGTCTGAGATATGCTTAAAATAATCTCTACCGGTGCAGGCTGGCTGGCCTGACGATGTTAGAGCGGGTTTCAGTATTTGCCAAAGCCGGAAGTTTTTAGTCCATGACTAAGAAAACCAGTAATTTTTTTGAATCATTCAGATAAAAAGTTGGAATAAGTGCTTGTCAGCGAATCGAAACAGCTTTCATCCAAAAGTATGGGAAAATGAAAACCTTGCCATTAGGTTGTTACTGTTGGTATTGCTGTATGTTGGGTCAGCTTTCAGTGCTGTCACTTCTCATAGACAGATCAATAAGAAACTTTACCGATGTATTTGCATAGTATGAAGTGCCATTTACATCAGTACCTGAGTAAAAAATTCAATCAAAAAAAAATGATAGCTCACGAAGCCATTAAAGATATTTAGAAAACCCTCTTTCTCAGTTTTTTTTTGTCTCCATACAAAGTAGTTGGCCAGCGCACCGACTGCTGATGTGAAGATGCGTTTTTTGCACAAATCCCTCTCAAGCTCTTTCCGCTTATGGCACTGTTTTCGCGGCAGACGCTTCTAACTAAAAGAATTGAACTGGCCACCACGAACATCGAAAATTATTACAGTGACTCCCAATCCGTGCTGAAAAAATTCAACACTCCAGTTGCTTCGGTTGTGGGACTACGTAAGTTTTCACGTATCAATACGTAAAAAGGGCTATTGCTTTCATCTGTGCCTGCCCAAACACTTTTCTGGGCCATGCTCAGCAAATTTCAGCACTCTAGTTATTCTGGTTGGTTGGTTACGTTAAATTTCACGCGTTCGTACGTGAGGGGAACGCGGATGCTGTTTTTACGTGCATCTACTCAGACACGACTTTAGGCTGCGCTCATAAAATCTCTTTCTCTCTAGCTGCTTTGGTTGCGGAGTTGTGTCAAATGTCACGTTCGTACATGAGACGCGGAAGGGACCTGAGAGTTGCTTTCACGTCTGCCTGGCACAAATGTCTAGGCGCCGGCGTTTGTGCTAGGCGTGGAAGTCGCCCTCACATTTGGCTTTTCAGGTTCCCGACTTGGTAATTTTCCCGCTAAAAATTTTCAGGTATCCGCACATTAGAACCAGGCACACTGGGGGGCTGAATTTGAAATCTTCAAATTGTACTTGAAGGGGGAACATGTCTTCAGAATTTCAATCTTCCAGCTTTTCCGGTTTCCGAGTTAGCAGTTTTCCCGCCAAAGCTTTCATTTGCCATACTCGAGCGCCGCACTAGAGTGAGCGACCTTTTCTTGGGGGTGGGGGCCCCTACATAGGTGTAAACTAATTTGCCAAAGTTTCAGCCGTATAGCTTTCCTCGAGATGAAAAATCGGTGCAGACACACATACTGACATACCACACATAGGCACACACATAGACAGCTCATCGACGTTACGTGTTTTTGCATTGCATAGATGCAAAAAATATATAAAAACAAGCAAAATTCTCAATGATCCATATTTTTGCTCCAAACAGAAGTCTTATTTTTATGCGTTTTTTGTATCTATGCAATGCAGAAAACGCATATTGACGAGGGATTGTCTGTGTGTCCGTGTATCTGTGTGTGCGTCTGTCACGCACTTTCATCTCAAGACCTGTAAAAGCTGCGGGGCTAAAATTTCGGCTACAGTTCCCAAAATGGGCGCCAACACCCATGTGGTACCCGTGTACGGGCCCACCAAAGTTTTTTTAGGGTAAGTTCATAACTCGGGGATCTGAGAAGCTAGAATGCTGAAATCTTAGGGGAATGTTCCCGTCCAAGTAGGTATTAACGAGTTCAAACCCTGCCCGCGGGTAAGCGTGGTACCTACGTACGGGCTCTTGAAAGTTTCTTCGAAGTAAGTTGCTAACTCAGAAAAGTGAGAAGCTAGAAGACTGGGATTTTGAAAGGATGTTTCCTGACAGTCCTGGCGGTCAGCTTTTAGCTGGAAGTGTCTGTCAGAAAAACCAGTGCCGTCAGCGGCAAAAATCTGCGGGGAGCTATGCAAAAAACGCATCTTCGCACGGGCAGCCCGTGCGTTGGCCAGTTATTAGGCGTTTGGTGCTGTGTAACAGCAGTACAAAACGCATATTGTCACGGGGTTGTCTGTCTGTGTGTGTGTGTGCGTGTGTGTGTGTGTGTCCGCAGCAGCTTGTCCGCAACTCGGGAACTACAAAAGCTAGGAAGCTGGAAATTAAGCGGAATGTTTCCCACCCACGTGTGACCCCGCAAATTTAAATTCAGCTTCTTCGTACCCGCGGATGACACGTACGGCCCCGTGAAAGTTTTTTACGGGTAGGTTGATATCTCGGGAACCACGGAGTCTAGGAGGCTGAAATTTTAGAGTAATGCCCCTCTGCCCACGCCGAACTTTGCCCAATCAAATTCAGCGTTCTCGCGCTGTCGGGTACCACCAACGGGCTAATGAAAATTTTGGCGGACAAACTATTAACTCGA